TCAATCGAAGTGAACGAGGTGAATGAATGTGCGTGATTGCCATCGTAATCACCTGACGAAAAATTCAAAATTGAGTTTAGTAAACAAAGTGTTGTCATCCCCATTACTCCCACGAACCGGTTATAGATTTACTTCAATGACCAATGAAGCACACAGACCAACAATAACGTAAAAGCTCCTTGTAACAAGTCATACCACTACAAATGCTGTTCGATCCTATTCGAATGCGTAAAACGGCGTCAGAAATGAGTCGTGTCTATAATGATGTATACAGCGATTTATACATACTTTATAATTTCAATTTCCTAGTGATTGATTTACGCAAGACAAATAAGACCATGCCCAGTCGGAACATGCATTCACGCTGGAAAAACATCTACAAATAAACTACTTACTGGTGTAGAATGAGATGTGCACGGTTCGGTGATCATCTGTTCGGAAGAGACCGGCGGTGGATGAGATGCGGGTTCATTTGGCGAAGTTATTGTTTCGTTTGACTTTACCGCGGAGGATGCAACTTCACAATCTGAAGTTGAGAGTACAGCCGGCGTTACTTCCGCTGACGTTGACACTATGCACACCGAATCGTCTCCAACACCAGAGAATTGTGAAATCAGCCGCTTTTTAGGATTAACGGGGCAATTCGTGCTTGTGTTGGGTGGTGTCCGCATATTTGTACGCTCTATAAGAATCGAATCTTCCGAGTGCGTTGTTTTTTGATTCGAGGGGTCACCTGTTGGAGTGGTTTCAGATTTCCAATTCAAATTACTGTCTTCTTCCTCCATCAATGCCTGAAGAAAAAAATGGTAAAAGGGATAAATGCATTACATCAGTAGCGTACATTGGGTTGTATGGAGATGAGGAAAAACTAATGGCACATACGGCTAGACCATAAATGAAAACTAAATCTGTGGTTTTAAAAGTTGTAAAGAGCATAAGGCCCAGATGAAGAATATCAGCAGAGCATAGAGGGAAAAAACGAGTAATCAAGCATATAAGACTCTCTGAATTCATTAATCGGGAGAGAGGGGGGAAATGTCAAGCTTTGAACTAATGATAGCCTCCGTCCTGAGCTTTTAAGTAAACTTCATGCTGATTTGAAACCATTCATGCTATGCTGGACATTGATTTAGGGTAAATCACAGGTGGGACACGAAAACAGAAAATTAAATAATTACTAACACAATCGAGCATCTCTTTTGGTGAAGGACAGGCTCACTTTAAGAATATAACCATAGTTTCGTGGAGATAAGGCACGGAGTTCCCTGCACTGCTTGGAGCGATTTTACTAACAGGTCGCTCAGTTGGCAGTAGGAAGTTAGCTAGCGGCATCTCATCCGATCTTTGTGTTCGAGATAGCATACCCAGCCTTCGCACACAAAAGTACCACTGCAAAGGCAGTAGGGTTATTTCAAACGAGCCAAAGGTCAATTACTCCACTTATTCGCGTCTTCCGGCAAATCATGTCGGGTAAATGGAGCACGACAGGAGCAGTGACTTTATTTACCGGAGGGCCGCAATCGTCACGTCGCAATAACAGCCAAACTTATACGGTTTTATACTGAAGAGCACTAATGAAACGAAGCCCATCGGTAATCGTCTTTGATCGCGCATTGGTGAGTCAAGGATCATTTCGCTCACGGTTAATCACTAGATTGGTGACCAACCCCCTATCTGCAACCTGGCTGCGGGTTGGGGAGCACACAACTGTTTTGGGGGTACATTAAATAAGGGACCGGAAGTGATGAGTTTCACCACTAAACATTTTCTATACGACGGTCTGGTAGGAGCCACTCTAGAACAAAAGTAGTTGGGAAAATACTGTCAGTGAAAAAAGGCAAGTAAGCGATATTTCGATGCAGATGTGGGGCGGGAAATCTGCACTTTAGTAAGATGGACCGCAACAGGCTACGTTCGCAAAGAGCATCATGACGTATATTTAGGAATTTTCGGGGCTATGGAGAAGTTGATATTTGATGTTGTGTACGTAGGATTTTTAGGCAGCCAGGAATCCACTATTTGGAGATCCAAATAAGTCCTATTAATCAACCTTTTTCTCTTTCATTTTACTTCCTCTTATTGAATATACAAAGGTATAATTTTCAGGAAGGGGGAAGCGGCCAATCAAAGCGCTGCCATTCAAAACACAAAGGAGAAAGTCAGGTGGTGGTGATGGGATTCGAACACATCGCCGGGGTGATAATTTTGTGACGTTACCACCGGGCAACCACCGCAGAAAAGCCACAAATATAGCACATTTTCAGAGTGCATAATACAGAGTAGGGTGTTATCAAGGGAATTTTGGAAAAACAACTCAAGGTGGGCAAATAATGAGACTCAAAGAGCAGGGGAAAAATCAACATAATTGATGCAGTGATGCAACCTTCTAATTGAGACTACGGTTCGTAAGCATCAACATCTTACGTGCATTTGTTCCATTGCCATAAATAAGTCTATACGCACTTGTAAATAAATCCTGTGAACTGATAAAGTAGAGTGTTAAAAACGGCTTACTTGACAGAGCCACCTTTTCTTGCTAGGTCTCGGGGCTGAATGAGCGGAAGGAGTAAGGGCAGCCATCGCAGGGTAACTACAGGTGGTTGGCGTATTTTCGAGATCCTTCGACGGTGTCATAACGGTTTGATCGTTGTTGGTGACGTTCAAGCTGTTATCGACTTTACGGTTGCGGCTGAATTTGGCCATTGGATCTTTTTCACGCGTTCGATACACAATCAGTGTGCAATCTGCTTCGGGACTATGATCTGCAATGCCACCAACTTGGCCGTTATCAACCGGTTTGGTGGTTAGTGGGGAATGACTGTTGGGAGGTTCTAAAGAATCCGAAGTTTGTCCACCTGGAGATGATTGGCGTCGACGTCGACGGTTTCGCGTCTCTTGATACGATGTGTGCAAACCTGATTGTAGGGAATCAGACACCAATTCATGGGACGAATCTTTGGTATTATCGAAGGTGGTACCATCGGTTTGCGAGGCGGTATCAGAGCCGTTGGTAAATCCGTCGAGCATCGCGTGATCCTTCTCCTTGTGCGTCCCAACAGTTTGATCTTCCAACTCAGCGATGCGCCGCAATTGTGATTTTAACCATCGATCCTCCCGTGAATCACGACGCTCAATAGCGTTGGGGAAGCTCTCGAAAAGAACAGGTGTCTGTGAACGACGCCTCTTATTTTTCAATGCTGATCCAGATTGCTTTTGCTTCCCGCGGTTTTTATTTGAATCCACTGTCTTCAAAGGAGATTTAAGTGAAACGGAAGGAGTAGGTCCAGAATGTTTATCATTACTTTGCACGGAAACATTCTCCACACATAAAACCTCTTCTGTTGATTCCAACTGTTGTTGTTTATTGCTTTCTGGAGTCTGTGACAAATTCGATTGCTCTGGAGGGTTACATGTAACCTGCATGTTGCTCTGTTTCGATTCCTCGTGAAGCGGTTCTAATATGGACTCTATACTAGCATCCGCTTCTTCTGACATTTTCTGATCAAAATCTTCTTTTGTAAGCTCAGCGTTGTCCAAGTGGGCGGTGGCATCTATAACAACTGACGTCCCTGAGGCTTCACTGGTATCCTCTACCTCGTGTTTCTCAGTAGCATTTGGTCGTTGCTTTTGTTGTTGTTGTTTCTTTTCCATCCGCTCAATCCGACGCAACACTTCATCCATCCAAATTTCCTCTCGAGATTTCTGAATGAATATGGTGAGGGGTACCGGTAGCAGATGATAAGACAGGTTATGCGAAATTGAAGAATGACGTCTTTGAAAATGCAACTTCGCCAGCAGCCGCACAAAATCAAACACATCAATGTAACGTTTTCAACAANATCTAGGATTTTCATTCAAAAGACTACAGAGTAGATTTTGGTTAGAACCTAGATGTGGAGCAACCGTTAACTCAGGAAGACAGTCAACCAGTACACCAATAAGTGGGCTATTTATCAGTCATAACCACTTAGTTCTACCGCGGAACTAGAAAGGTGTACACAAACTGCTATGCGAATATCCTGTGCATTGTAACCCAGCAGGGCGATATCACGAGCATATCAAAAGTTTATGANCTATGGCAAAGTTGAAAAGATACAGGGAGACGGAAACCCTGTTATCCCCCATTGGTGAAGGGAAACCGGGATGTAAGTTCCGTATAGACCGTAACCCAGGCAGACACCCGGTGGAAAAATGCTTTTAGGATCAGAGCATGTTTATAGATACTCCGTATTTAAAAAATCACTTTCACAGGAACCGTGCGAAGCTCAGCGTACCTGCTGTGAGACTCAATTTAAGTAGTAAAACGGACGTTAACACTAACTAATCAGACTTACGCGCATGGTTAAAAAATACACCGCGTTAGTCTTTGTGAAAGATGGGAGTGAGGTGCAATATCTTAGGAAGCAATCCAGTAAACTCTAACAAGAACTTCCTTGCATTGTTCAAAAAATGGTCGGCAACTAGTAGTCTAATAAAGACACTTGAAGGCGTCCAGAACATCGAGCTGACTTCAGATGTACGCTCCTGCGGATGGTTAAGTGGATAGAGACTACGATGCCTTTTTATGTTACCTGCACAGGAGGAGGATTGAGTTGCAATGTAAAACACTTCCCAGCGTTTCACTTGTTACAAACTGTTTGAACAATTCACTTTAGTAAGGTAAAAAATAATAATTCTTCCAAAAGAGACTGGTTGACTCCCGAATCTGCCAAAGGAAAATTACTTGAGCTTAAACGTGACTTTTGTTACTGTCGGATTTTCCTTTCTCAGAAATACCAAATCATTTAGCTAACTATATCTATTAGACCTTGTAGCGATACAGCTAACTATTACCTATTGATGCCTGTTAACGAAGATGAAATAGCTATACAGCGCCGATATATTGGTGAATGATTCTGCACGGTGAATACAATTTTCACAACTAAATCAGATCACATACAACCATCAACTAGGGTTAAAATTTGGCATTCGTATTATCTAGGCAAAAAAGGGAGGAAAACCTGGGATTAAACTCCGATAGTTTTGGTCGTGACCTGGTGGCAAATGCTATTACAACGGACATGATGTCGGAAGCCTTATTAGGATGTGGTGACGCAGTTTCGCAGGTGACACTTAAGCAACGGTGACGCGGCCTGCAGATGGAATTTCCGTTTGAATATTATTCTTATTTATCGGAAATATGAAGCTGGTGCTGTGCATTTCAGTTGTGATGGTTCGCGACGATAGGTCGTTGACATTATCCAGTTTCTTGAAAGGTGTTATCCAGAGGAATATCGCTACACCGAATATTCTTAATTCTATAAGTTTACTTCCGGAACGTTAAGAGAAGAAAAAATTACTTCGTCACAGATTGATAAATCATTGCGAGATTAACAATTAAATTATTTATCACGCGCCTAAAGAGCCGATAATGAGGCTAAACAGTGAACGATGTTAGCAGCAGCTGGTTTTGCGATAAGGATGCCATGAAACGGAATTACTTAAATGTCATCCATGAAAATGAAAATAACAACCAACGTAAAAAAACTAACTGGGAAGGAGTGGTCTGATTAGCGTTCGACTTCGAATATCCAAAACCAAAAAAAAACAAATGGATCACCTTCTTATCCCCTTGATTGGGAATAGGGTTCTTCCGAGGAGGAGGACTTTGTGCTGTTCCGTCCGCCCCACTAATCCGTCGTTTGCGGCGTTCGTTGATTTCAATGGTCTAACATAGACGAAAGGAAAGAAATGAGATTGTGCAAAAGATGGAGAAGAATGCAGTACTGTTCCCGAATAGAATGATCAATCAACAACCAAAAATAGACAAATGAATAAATAACCACGGATGTTAAAGATAAAAGACGACAATGAGCTGGGATCGACAAGAGACAAATAAACCTTTGAGTGTATATGGCGTTCCATATGTTAAGGGTCGAGGGGCAAAGAAAACTTAGAACGGAGAATATCAAAAGATGCTGTCCAGAAAATGATTAGGATTCTATGCCATAGCCAGTAGTCCTCAGTCAACAACAGTTCACGTCTAACTAAACACAATTTTGAATTTTTCGACAGGGGATTACGATGGCAATCACGCACATTCATTCACCTCGTTCACTTCGATTGAATGCCATGTTCTAGTGTGCCTCCAACCGACGACAATTAGGATCTCTGAGGGCCTAATCTGGCAACCTGGATGTCCCAATAGAAGCAAGATTCGAACGGAAACCTCTCATCAACCGACGCAGCCTCATACCTTACCCACCTCGTTGTCTCTTTCCCTATGGTCTTTTGTCTGCGGTAGGCGTTGTCCGAGCATTTGCAGGACGCATCTCAACGACTTCTGATGGTGCAGTGAAATAGTGTTGTTTTACGGAAAACTATTTGTCCCTAACTCACTCCACCTTACCTCATCTTTATTCGCACAATGTTTCCACCATACGCGAACAATGCTGTGCAGACAACAGCTGCCGGCAACTGCATCATATCTCAAAACATGATATAGCATCAAGTCGACCCATCTAAATAACGCTACTTCTACGTCCTCTAGAACAACAAAGCGCAAGCATTTTGGATCTTGCCTTTCCTGGCTTCAGTAGTTAGTTATTCGGGGTGAGGTTTTCACATCCGGATAAACTTCAAAAAATGCAGGCAATAAGCTTATTTTCTCAACCGTTGGATGTTATGTAGAAAGCCCCAATACGGTCGGGAATTGTGGTCTTGAGTGGTGGCTGGTCATCCTTCCTTTGAACCTCGTTAAGTACTTGTATGCGACCAAGCGTCTCAAGTAGCTTATGCTTAGGAACCCTCACGAGAAGGAGGGGGCCGAGCGTCCTCAGTTCCAACATCTGAAGAATACAGTGAATCTGTAATTATTATAACAGGTGGATTAGTGTTAGGTATCGTACAGCGCGGAATATGAAACCGATCTAGTGCTCGCAATCAAATCTGATTATGTAATGGCGACTATGGGAGTAATGATTTGAAAAATTCAAAGGTTTTGTGTACCGTGAGGTAACGAATCAAAAAATAAAATGACTTTTTTAGCAAGTGGACGTGAAGGAATTCGTGGGGGCATTGAAAGGTTAACAGTTTTTGGAACCCCAAGTGAAGACACGCTAAACGCCGGAATATCAGAGTTCGACGGCACAGCGATCGCGAT